CTTGTGGACAAAATGTCAAGGGGGATTTTTGTCTCCCTCAAAGACACAAACACGAATATTATACACTCCTTTACCAAATCCATTAGCCAAGATTTGTGCCAATGAAATATTCATTTGAAGATTCAGATTGTTTCAGTTCTGAGGCAGGTGCAGAGAGGAAGATCACAGAAGATCTTTTGGTCACCGCTGGTGACAGAATTACAGAACAGTTCTTTAAAGAGAAAATATTATTTAAAGGTCAGTAATATTTTGTACCGAGATGTATAAAATATGAATGGAGAGAACAATGAAATGGAGAGAACTAAAGGAATTTCTTATTTTGTTATTGTACATACCCTTAAAGTGGTCTTTTGCAACCTGATGTTTCCTAAAGATGCTGGAGCTGCAAGCCCCAGAAGTCCCACTGGGTGTGTCAATGAGAGCTGAGGATTCCAAGAGGTATAGAATGAAGTCATCTGTTGGGCAGGAATTTGAGGAAAACTGATGTCAAGTATTCAGAGATGCACATGGTCTGCCATCTGTAATATTCTGACAATTTTGACGAGAATGATAACCCTGCCCCCTACTTTAATTTATGATGATGAAATGGACTCCAGTCCCTCAATAAAAGTATTAGTCTTTCAGGTTTCACAAGCTGCTTGACTGCCTCTGCACAACAGCCTTAACCTTGGTTACAGAATTAATCCATTCAGGGGGCTTGTACAATGTACTGAATCACAAGCTAATCAAAGGCTGGGATGCACAATACCCTAAAGTTTACAAACCAAAGATCACAAGCTAGGTTAAAATTAGCCAAATCTGGCATGCTCTGCTAATGCAGGCACTAGATCTTGCACTGACTTGGTTGGTGGGGAGTATCAACACAGAATATGGTCATGGCTTAAACTTATCATGTTGGTTCTTAATGTCAGCATGTTACCCTACTGTAATTTTTGTAAGAAGCCAGGGAGGAATATCTTTTCTGATTGAGTGAGAAGCAGCTATCTATTTGATGCTGTTGAGTATCTTTGTGGTCCAAATGTTTTTGTCTTAAGATTTATACTGGGAGGCCAGTAGGCAGAAAGGAAAGATGATAACCAACGTGATAAGTTTAAGCCATGACCATATTCTATGTTGGCACTCTTCATCAACCAAGTCAGTGCAAGATCTCGTGCCTGCATTTGTAGATCATGCCAGATTTGGCTAATTAAGGGCAGAACTATTATCTCCTCCCCAAACTGTTTAAGGTTTCAATAATCGGTTTTATAATTCTGAACATGTCAGCAGGTAAAAGTGCTGTTTGCTAAATGGCAGAGACAGAAAATGAAATAAAGGAGAGAAAAAGAGAAGGTTGAGAATGCTTTGTTGAATAGTTCTTGTAAAATGAAGAGGTGGGAAAGAGCACTAGTTTTGCTATAGCATAACCTTTTATGAAATCAAAGTAGACTTTGTGAGATACAAGAAATATATTTCATTAGCCAACTAATAAAATATTCTTCATCCATTTGTTTAGATGAACTTTTTAATTTCTGGGTATGTATGAATACAGAGAAATGTAAGGCTAACAATATTGAAAGCAAAACCAACTATATAACACAATAATACAACACTTGCAGTAATAAATGTTTTTCTTAATGCCATTATATATTTCATAAAAATATAGAGCAAGCATCACAGAAAATACAAAATCATCCATCTATTAAGGAAAATAAAACAAATGTAAAATAGTAACAACTAGAAACAATTATTGTCTGATAAAAATTGCAAGAAGGGGAATCAGAATAGTGCTAGGGGAGGGAATTATTCCATCTGAACAGAGTTCATCGAAATGAGTCTGTTCAGTCATTAGATAACTATTATTCAGCTTCCTGAAACTCAGTGCCTGCTGCAATGTTTCTCAGCCAGGGGTACAAGTACAGAAGTAGCTTAAGTTGGCTATGACTTCCCTCCCCAAATCAGAAGAGAGGAACAGAGAAGGGAAAGCAGGAGAAGCACCCTTTCTCAGCAGTGCATTTCTTAAAGTCCAGGAGAGCGGTTATGAATATTAACGTTTCAATCCACACCATTTGTGATCCAAGATCCAGAGTGGTTTTTTCTTCTATTGGGACTCTACTTTCCATTTAGTATTTGTCTTTCTATATTTTCTCTTCCTCTCCTGTGTTCTGTTTTATCTATATGTATCCCTGAGAAATGAAAAATGAAGCAAATCAAACTGTGTTCCAAAATTCATTCTTCTGGGATTTGGTGGTTGTAAAAAGGAACACACCTTTTCAAAGGAGAGAGCAGTGTTTGGAAATGCCTTTTGCTTCCCACAGACTGAAAAGATGGAGTGCAACACTGAGGAAAAAGATCACACACAGTTGACAGGAGAAAGAGGAATCAGAACAAAAGAAAGGAAGGACTTTTACGGGAGTTGTGAGTTGGGGAGTGGGGAATTCTAAGGTCCTGATTCACTGGTGGGTTTCT